AAAAAAAATGAAGGAATTATTTTATTGTTAAGCAAAGCAGATTTAATAAAAACCAAAGAAAAAACTTACTAAATAATCATAAATCAGTTTAGATAGAGAAAAAAAATAGCAGATAAAAATTTTTCCTGATTTTTGCTTCCCCTTCCCAGCCCTTGGATTCTCAGTTGCAGCTTTGCAACCTTTTATTTGAAACGTCTACAGAAACAACTTTTCAAACTGGTTTCATCACCAGAAAACCGTTTGTCCTCCACCCAAACCCCTGCACAAATTCTGATGCTTAAATATTCACCAAACAATCTTTAATTAGCCAATCACTTAACTTAATTTTACTTGTACGATATGTTTACACACTGATAATAATACATTTTCTATAACAATACACAAATTACAACTTCAAAAGAAAAAAGAAAAAGTAATGGCAAATAAAATTGGAAAAAAAAAAAGAAAAAGAAAAACAATTAAAAAAAAACAATAGCAGAATGCATGACATCTGAGAATTTTATTAGCTTATAATGCAGGAAAAAAAGTGAACAATGATATCATTGAAAAATTACTTTTGTTTAACTTTTTTTTTCTTTTCTTACTACATTTTACATCCTACCATCAATCTATTTGCCAAATGTAAAACTTTTTAAGTCTGTGTTAAACAAGACAGACATCTTTTCAGTTCACCCAACAACAAATAATGTTCAGTTATCCTAAAACACTGTCATTCAACGTAAACAGCGAGCAGATACCGAAGAAATGACAATGTGAAAAATTAATTGGCTAGACAAGACAAGCAGAATATTACTAGTCTAACTAGCCTGAAAAACTAATTAACTATTCGGTCTAGTCAGCAACTTTTTGTCCTGCACAGATTTGATATGTTATATTTGCAAAAAGAGAAAACAGTTGCTTCTTTTTTTTTTTTGTTACTTCCCAGCTTATATGTTTCAGTAAAAATATCCCCCGTTTTCTAAACTGCCGTTGAAGGTATGACTACATATATTCAACAGTTACCAGT